TGGGCCCCTTTTTCTTACTGACTCTTACTGTTAATGAGTGAATATAAACATTGAAGAATAACTGCAAAATGTTGTGAATATTAGTATTTGACAGTGAATGGCACATCATCCCCATTTGTGTTTGTCCTTTCACGTCTTTATGGCTAGGCATTTTGTTCCTTCTTTATGACTTTTTGTTTGTTTTTGTTTATTTGAAACAGGTTATCACTGTGTTAGCCCAGGCTAGCCTCAAGCAGCTCACTGCAATCCTGCCTCAGTTTCTTGAGTGCTGAAAATACAAGCACAAGCCACCGTGCCTGACTTCTTTGTGGCTTTTTTTTTCCCCCTTCGGTCTTTTTGAAACAGGGTCTTCTGTAGCCCAGCTGGCCTGGAATTCACTGTGTAGACAAGGCTGGCCTTGAACTCAAAAGATCTGCCTGCCTCTGCCTCCCAGGTGCTGAGATTAAAGGTGTGTACCACCATGTCCAACTAAAAAAATTCTTAATTTTAATGTATATAGGATTGTTTGGTTTTTGAGACATGGTTTTGGCCCAGGCTGGCCTCAAACTACAGATCCTTCAACCTCAGTCTCATCAGTGATGGGAACTCAAGTACGGTCACCACCCCCTCTCTGGATATAGTTTTACCAGCCTCTCTCTTTATGGTTCGTACTTTAATGTCTTACTTAAGCGATCTTTTTCTGCCTCAAGTTATGCTAATTCTTCCTATCCTATTTCTTTAGCCTTTAGTCCAGAGCTGGGTTTTGTTCTTAGTGTGATGCAGGACCAGCCACATTTGCCACAGCACCTTATATTGAACAGCTTGTCTTTCCAAGTCGGCAAGTCTGCAGTGTCGACCTCACAAGCCAAGCTCTCCTGCACATTGGGTGGGTTTCCAGCTCTGTTATGCTCACGGTCCTTTGTGTCTAAGCAAATGTCACACCTGAAGTTTTAAAGTATTTTTTAAACATTTTATTATTTTAATCAAGTGTGTGTTTGTGTCTTTGTGTGTCTATGTGTGTGTTTACCACGTAAGTGTAGTACATGCAGAGGCCAGAAGAGAGTGTTGGATCCCCTGGAGCTAGAGTTATAAGACGTGTGAGCTACCTGACATGGGTTCTAGGAACTTAGGTCCCCTGGAAGAACAGCAAGCACTCTTAACTGATGAATCTCTCCAACCCCATTTCTTTTGAGGGGGGGGGGACAGCGTCTCACGTAGCGCAGACAGATGACCTTGAATTCTGATCCTCTTTCCTCAACCACCTGAGTGCTGAGATTACAGTCTCACACCACCACATCTGGTTTTGGGATGTTGGGGATTGAATTGAATTCAGAGCTTTGTTTGTGCTAGACAAGCAGTAAACCAACTGAGGTGTATCCCCAGTCCTGGCCCTTCATAGTAGTTCGTAGTAAAGGGCTGGAAGTAGCACAATGGTGGGGCCCTTGCTTGTCATGAAGCCATGAATTTGTTCTCCAGCCTCATGAAAGATAAATTCATAATAAAATTCATAAGAAAGCAAGTTCCTTTACCTTGTTCTTTGGGGGAGGTTCTCACTATTCTAACCATTCTTCCAGTAGTGTATTTTACTGTATGTATGTATGCATTTATTTATTCATTCATTCATTTACTTTGCATACACTAGGCAAGTGCTATAGCAGTGAGCCACACCCCTAGCTCAGAAGTGCATTGAGTTCCCCTCATCGAGTTAAGAAGACACTCGGCGTTGTCTGCTTCTTGTTATGGTTTTAAATTGGTTTTGTTATTGTTGTTTAAGGTTTTTTGTTGGGGTATTTTGTTTTTGTTTTTGTTTGAGACAAGGTCTGCCCATAGCCCTAGGTGACCTGGAACTCACTATATAGACCAGACTGGCCTTGATCTCAGTGATCCACCTGCTTCTGCCTCTCAGGTGCTAGGATTAAAGACATGCGCCACTATGCCCAGTTTATTTCTTAAAAAAATATTAGTTTGTGTGTATACATCTCTGTGAGTATATGCACATTTGTTTGTGGGTGCACATAAGCATGTGCACAGAGGCCAGAAGAGGACATCCAGTCCCTGGGAACTGGAATTATAGGCATTCATGGACTACCAGTTTATGTAGGTACTGGGATCTGAACTCTGATCCTCATGATTGCTTAGCAAGTACCCTTAATTGACGAACCGTCTCTTCAATCCCATGTTTTGGTTTTTGTTTAAGACAGTCTTAAACTTGCTGGATCACAGCTGTGGCCCCAGGCCTGGCACATAGCTCTGATTTGGATTGTTAATCTGTTGTTCAGGGTGGTCAGAATCAAAGTCTGTCTTTATCACAGGGAGCCTTCCAGCCACAAAAATGACACTTAAAATTACAATAGAATATAGTGGACTAGGGTTGTGGCCCAGTGGTAGAACTCCTGCCTGGCATCCATGAGGCCCTGGGTTCAATCTCCAGTACTGTCAAAAAGGGGTAGTATTTTATCTCATTTCTGACTGTTCATTGGTGTGTGGGAAATCAATCTTTGTTTTGTCTCCAATGGCTTTGCTTCATGTACCTGTGGGGATTTGTTGTTGTTGTTTGTGTTTTTTTTTTTTTTTTTGGTCTTTTTGAGACAGGGTCTCTCCTGTAGCCCCAGCTGTCCTGGAACTCACTATGTAGACCAGGCTGGCCTTGAACTCACAGAGATCCGCCTGCCTCTGCCTCCCAAGTGCTGGGATCAAAGGTATGCATCATCATACCCAGTTACCTGAGGTTTTAACTGTAATGATTTGTCTGTAGATTCTCTTGGATTTTCTACATAAACAGTCATGTTGTTTGTAAGCAATGAGGGTTTGTTTTTCTTCTCCTCTTCCCTCTCCCCCTCCCCCCTCCTCCTCCTTCAAGTCGTAGCACATTTCTCTTTTCACACCTGTATTGTCTTGGACCTAATATGTGTAGATTAATGGTGATGGGGGCTGCCAACCTTTCCCCTTGACCAGTGCTGCTTTCTGGAAGGGTTTGTTTGCTTGCTTGTTTGAGACAGTCTCACTGTGTAACCCTGGTGAGCCTCTCTCACAGAGATGCACCTGCTCCTGAGTGCTGGATTAAAGACATGACCCATCACATCCTGCTGAAAAGTTCTTTATATTACGGATAATAAGGAAATTTCTTTCCCTCTCACTAATTTGCAAAGTATTTCAACTTCAAGTTAAGGTTGACTTTTATTAAGTAATGCTTTTATTTTTCTTGAGGTGATCTAAGACTCTGTCCTTTTGGCCTTCTACTAATTACCGCTCATCACACCCTGTGGTCTGTTTCCTCCGTGCTGATGTCCAGGTCTGAAGTGTGAGATGGATCCCATCTTTCTCAGACATTTTCTTTCTCATCATACCTCTTGGATGATCTGAGGAAGTGCTTTACATTTCTTCCTAAATATTTGGTGGTTTTGTGTTCAGGATAGCACGTCACCAGGAGCACACATGTGTAAGGAGAGAAGAGAACCGAAACAGATGAAAGTTGTTCTTAACTCAGAACATCAAAAGGTTCAGTGTGTAATCAGGGGGTAATAGAAGGCCATGTTCTGTGTTCTTCTGTTTCTGCTGAGTTCAGAGTCCAGCACATTGGAGCCCTGCAGCATCTCCACTCATACCTGTAGGAGCCTCTGAACCAAGCTGTCATAGCTTTGATAAAACATGTCTGAAGGGCACTTGATATCATCTTACTGTCAGTGTTCCCACTGTGCACACCTGTACTGGCTCACATACATGCTGACAGTGAATTTTTTGGTGTCTGGCTACGCCAGCTCTTGTCCGTCGCCCTGAGTTTCAGGGCCTTGTGTCACTGGCTGGGCCCAGTGCATAGGAGCTCATGTTCCCTGGAAGTGTGAGTAAGTGAGTGAATCCACGGGGGTGGAACCTTGCCTGTGCCTGGTTGCTTGTGGGGCAGGCAGGGTGCCCGTATCACAGGAGTAAGTGGTGGTGGGCACTGGGGTGTTTGCTTTGGCCACCTGCTCTCACTATACCTCGATTCAAGTGCTGAGGGGAAGGGTGTTTCCTACATGAAGTGCCCAGCAAGGCTTTGTCCAGCTGCTGGGAGCAGGATAAAGAGACCCCCACCCTGCAGATTCCATCAGGAGGCTGTGGGTCCTGGAAGGAAGTGGCTCTAAGGTCATGAGACCAATTTTCTGTTGGCCTGCTACTCTACACCTGTGATTGGGCATGGCTGGTTAGAGTTACTAGGCAGATTCTATGAGTTTAGTGGGACGTCCGGGGCTGCCTGTTGCCTGGTCCAGTGGGAGGTACTCCAGGCTAGCTGGACTCTGTCTGCTGAGTTGTGCCTACCCTTTCTTATCTGGAGGGTGGGAGACCCTTCCCTTGAAAAGGCTTTGGACTTGCAGCAGAGCTACATAGTAGAGTTCAGGAGGTCTGAGTACCAACCCCCAGCCTTGGGCCTCCCCCTGCCTGAGCTCAGCCTCTGTGTACTGAGCAGAGGGTCCTGGAGCCACTGGTGGGGTCTAGTGGGCAGAACTGAGCCTGAGCCTTTGCCTGGGACACCTGCTGCCTGGCATGCCTCCCCTTGCACGGGTATAATTAGCCCCACAACAGGTGCCATGGGTTGGGTGTCTGGCCCAGCCCTGACCCAGTGATGCCCCGGCCTTAGCCGACCTGCCTTGCCTGCTGTCCTGGGCTCCAGGCCTGAACCCTGTCCCATGAGGTCCCCTGAGGCCTCAAGCCCCACCCACCTTCCTCTGCTCCCAGCACACCCACTGGATTAGGGACAGGATGTCATCTGGAGGAGGCAGGCAGGCAGAGCCCCAGGCTGTGGCCTGGCCTCAGGCTCTGGGAATCCCCAGCCTGGCCCTGGCCCTCCCTTCAGTGCATGTCCAGGTGGAACCATTCTGGCCTGGTGGCTTTTCCTTCCCGCAGGCAGCCTCTAGCCCTGAGACCTGGTCAACAGCCTATAGGGCCAATGGGCTCTCACAGGACTGTGCCTGGCTGGTTCCCTGTGCTCTCTGTGTACAGCCACAAGATTCTCTCAGCCCCACCTGCTGTTGTTCTTCCCCCAGTGCAAGAAGAAGCACACACTGCTCTGCCCTGACTTTGCCCGAAGGGGTGCTTGTCCCCGTGGTGCCCAGTGCCAACTGCTCCACCGTAACCAGAAGCGACACGGCCGTCGTGCAGCTGCACCCTCTACCCCAGGGTCCAGCGATGGAACCCCCAGAGGCAGAGCCTCAGCTGGCCATGGACTGAGGTACAGAGCAGTGGGTGAGCTGGAGGTGATCCACCCCTGCTTTGGGGAGTCACGACCCTTTGGGAAATCTCACCCCAATGCTTTGGGCTTCAGAGCCAGAAAGGAATCTCACTTGGAGGCAAGAGCTCCTGAGGTACTCACACCCTGGTTCCTGACTGTGAACAGAGCCAAGAACAGCCCCCAGCCTGTGCAGGAGGGCTTCCAGAGACCCACTCCCCAGGAGAAAGGGACAGGAGCCCCCAGGAGGAACCCATATCTTGTGGAGTGTGGGATGCCCTGCAGGCAAAGCTGAGGGCCCAGAAAGTGATGAACAGAGCTCAGTGTGGAGCTGGAATCCCAGGCTTCAGCCTCCATCTGCCTCAGGCCCTGGAAACAGCCTGACCTTGGGCATGACCATGGGTCAAGCTTGGACCTGGTTAGACATTCCAGTGACTTCGAGGGTGGGCAGCGGAGGTGAGAGGCTGGGGACCCCGTTGTTGGGACCAGTGTCCTGCGGGTACCTAGGGGGCAGCCACCCGCCCTCACTTCTCCACATTTCCTGCAGGAAGCCCTCTGCTGCCCAGCGCCCTACCAAACAGATGCCCAGCGGCCCAGCCTCCAGGACTAGAGCTCCAACCTCCCCTCCCCTCTTCCCAAGGGTGTTAGCCTCCACCTTTCCTTTGTCATCAAAGGCCACTGCTGCCTCCTCCCCCTCCCCCTTTCCCTCTGCCAGCTCCCCCACCCACTCCTTGGACCAAGAGGAAACTGCCTCCGGGACAGGTGGGTCAGGCTCAGTGACAGGCTCCAGCAGCCTCTGCAAACTGCCGTCCTTCATCTCCCTGCACTCCTCCCCAAGCCCAGGAGGCCAGACTGGGGCCCAGGCCCCCAGGAGCCCCCGCACCATGGACTCAGGTAAGCAGTGGCCACTCCTGGGGTCTTTTTAAATGCCCACTTTAGGGTTATCTCTGGGTGGAGCCTGGGGAGTTAGTGTATCAGGCAGCCAGGGCAGGGTCAGTGCAGAGCAAGCACAGCAGTGGCCGCCTTGAAGACCACCCCAGCGAGGGCTGATTTAATTAGAAAGCACCCATTTCTGTTAATTTGTTCTGGAAGATCACCACGAACTCCTGGAGAGAACAGATGTTCCCTCTCCCCAATGAGCGTTTGGGGCTTGGTAAATGGCTCCACTCAGCCTTGTTTAGGAGAGAAAAGAGGATTTTATGGCTGCAAACGACCCTTTCTGTAAACATTTTACAGCTCTCTGCGCGTTTGAGTGACGATAAACCCCACGCAGCTCGGCGGGCTGCAAATTTGTGCCATACGGCTATCATTTTATTGTCATATTTCATGGTCGTAACGTTAATGGAAGATGCTTGCTGCAGGCTTCTCTAACAGCCCCGCTGAGCACGCGGAAGCGCCTGCTAGAGGGGCTGCCTCCTGGTTATGTCCTCCTCCTTGGGCACAGAGCCCATGAAACGGGGCTCTCACCCACTGGAATCTGGGTGGGGCATCAGGTCCTCCCAAGTGGTGGCCACTGGGGAGCAGCGGGGGACCCTGAGGCAACTTGTGTTTTTTAAAGATCAGGAACCCAGCAGTTAGTCCCAGGTCTAGAGGAGGCACAGGGTATGAACACTACTCTTGGGCAGGCCTAGAAAAGGCTCCAGAAACTTCCTACGGCCTGTTCATCCAGGAAAGGAGCTGGAGGGGCAGGCGTAGCCAAGCCTGAGATAGTATGTCGGGAAGCCTGGCTGTGCCTGCTGAAGCAGCCTAGAGGACAGATGGGGCTAACCTAGCTAGCTATGTACATGGAGTCTGCAGGCCCAGGTCCAGCCACTTGGGCCTTCTAGCTCTGAGCTGGCCTAGCAGTGAATGGAATTAATAGCCTTGAAGAGAGGAACTCCATGAGAGAGGTTTCACGGGGTGCATGGGCTATGCTGTGTGGCCACATTGAAGATCTGTGGTCAGGAGGACACTGGCACCTGGGAGAGAGGTGTGTGAGAAGTAAGCTCCTGTCAGGCAGAAGCCCCCAGGACATGCTCCTCTGTCCTCAGGCCTGCTTCAGGAATCCTCTTCTTTCTCCCTCTCCTGCTCCCAGACCTTGTCAGCTTCTCACTGATAATTCCACTTCTTTGAAGCCACCTGCTTGCACACTCCGGCTTCCCATGTGCAAGCACACCTGCTTTGTCTGTGTCTGGCAGGCTTGTTCCCAGGTGTGAGTGTGGTGTGTGCCTGTGTGTCTGCATGCACCCGTATTTATAGCTCAGCTTACAGAGTGTTGTGGCTCCCACCTATGGGGCTGCCCAAGCTGCCACCCGACCCAGGAAGACCTTGGCCTGGCAGAGTGCCCAGGCCTCCTTCCCTTTCCACCCTTCAGGGGAGGGCTGGTGGTAGGGGCTGGAGAGACAGATGGGAGCTAGAGGACAGGCCAGCTCTTTGTAGCCCTGCTAATAGGCCTGGGCTAACAGTGTTCCCAGTCCTGAGTCTCATCCAGAAACTCTGGGGTAGGAAGGTTCCTGGGCTGAAGTGGCTTGATGCCTGCCTGACCTTTGCTCTCCATGTAGGGAAGCCACTACACATCAAACCACGCCTGTGAGGCCCCCGGGGACCAGCCCACACCTACCTCAGACCCTCACCCCTGGAGAGGATGGAGGCTCTACCCACCACTGTTCTGAGGAGGAGCAACCCACTACGGAACCCAGCTGGAGCCACACACAAGGGGCCACATAGCTCCACCCATCTGGCGCTCAGTCTTCAGATGCCTGGCTGTGCCCTGCCAAGTCTTGTTCTCCTCTCTCAAGCCAGGCCCCTGCCATTCCCTTCCCCCTCCACCCCTCCCAGGCACTCAGCCTCACACCTAAGACTTGTTACCCACTCCCCACCCCTCAGGGTGCCATGTGGGGCTCACCCTAGCCTGTGCCCTGCAGTGAGTGGGGCAGTAGCTCTGGGACTTGTTCCCCTAGCCCTCCCCATCCAGGACTCCTGCCCAGGGAATAGGTCACAGGCAGACCTCCCTGTTAGGCATTTTATGTCCAGCAATAAAGGTTTTGTCCTGTGTTGAGCTGGACTGTCTTGACCACCACACAAGCACAGGACCCTGGACCTGCAGGGGAAAGGGGCCAGCTGGAAAGCAGAGCCCTCCACCCTCTGGCAGGCCTGCTCTCTCTGATTCCAGGATGGCTCAGAGGGCCAGAAGCAGCCTCTCTCCATGGCCAAGTCAATCTGATTGGGCTTGATGGCTGGGTTGGGGGTGGGGGGACACTCTACAGACTTCAGACGTGGGACAGGCTGGGACCAAAACACCTTGCTTTCCTGGGGAGGAGCATGACTTGGATCAGCCTGCCCTCTGCAGGTGTCTTCAGAAGGCTGGGCTTCTCCCACACGGATGCTGGAGGGCACAGGGTCACTTAGGTGCCCCCTCCCAGGATGAAGCATGACCCCTGGAAGAATGTTCATGGGCCCCCAGTGGTACAGGCCAGTAGCCTCCCAGTGACTGCTCTGCTGTGTTGGCGTGAGTCAGCTGTTGCCCTGCCTGGGCCCACACTCCCTCTACGACTCAGCACCCACCCTAAGGTACTATACAAACCCCTCAGTCTTTGCTGCATCAAGTCTGTCCTCTGGGGTGGCAGGACCCAACCCAACCCACACACAGGTGGGAGAGACCTCTGCCTGCAAGAGCATAGGAAGTTAAGTATACAGTCTCACACTTCACTACAGCCCCTGTCAGGAAGTGAGTCTCCTGACCTGGGCCTCCAAGGAGTGCACTGAGGCTGATCCACAAAACATATCCAGCAGAAACAGGCCCACTCCCAGCCACACAGCCTGGTATCCCTTCCCAATCATCCCATCACTAAATACTGAGACCCTGCAGCAGTGGATTGGGAAGATGGTGGGCTCTGGACTTGGACATGGCCAGGTGAAAAACCCTAACGTCATCCAACATTGACGTGAACCAAGCCCCTGCTTCAGGGCCCCTGGCTTGATGAGCAGGACCTGTGGGAGGGAGGCAGGGGGTGCAGGCAGTTGCTTCTGCTGGCAGGGACCACCTAGGCCAGGTGTCCTTGCCTGGAATGCACTGTGGCTCTTGGACGCCTTGTTAGGTGGTCCCTCTCTGTCAGCCACAGCCTGGGCCTTGAGTGGACAGGCTATTGTATAGCCTCCCTCAGCCTGACCTCCTTCCCTGGGGAGCCAGGGACCCAGGGTCAGCATTAACAGAGAAGGGGTTGGGGCACTGCTGGACTGATGTCCTGGACTTGGTGGGTGTGTAGCTCAGTGTAGAGTGCTTGCTTATAGTATGTGAGGTTCACTGAAGTGTCCACACCATAGCCATCCAAGGCCATTGGCCCCTGTAACAGCCTACATGGATACCTCTGTATCTTCCCCATGCTCCTGGGGTGCACACCTGTGAGACACTATGAAAAGTGAACCAACAGCATACAGAGATCTGGTCTCCCTCCCCTCCCTGAGTGGAAGGGACAGCGGGACGTTTACCTGCAAGACACCAGCTTTCAGCAGCTGTTCCCTCCCTCCCTGTCCCTGCTGCCCTATGGCTGACTCTCCAGAGGTTGGCAAAGGGACACAGGCCAGCTCCTCAGGCTGGACTCCTAGAGGACTCTGACTTCACGGTACGCTCTAGGTGAGCACATCTTCCTGCCCATTCTCATTTCCCCACCAAGCATCACCTCAGGTAGGCTTCTGACTAGTCCAGTGGACAGCTAGACTCAGTGCTGGCACAGCCTGCAACAGCCATGGTGGTGGGGTTCAGTGGTAAGAGCCCATCTACCTACCCGCCTGCCAGAGACCATGAGACCTACCCTGAGGAGCTGCTCTTCTGGCCCCACCCTTCTGCACCATGGCCAGGGCTTACCAAGAACCTGACAGAGGTACATGCAGCTTACATCTCCACCAGAAGTCTTGATGGATGGGCTGGAGGCCCTTCACCCCACAGCAGAGTGACCAGCATGCAGCCTGATTCTCATGATTTCCCCTTCAGGTCCTAAGGAGCTGAGACAGGAGCAGCAGCCAGTAGGGTGACCTCGTGTGGCCTAGTGGACAAGCCTGACAGAGCCATGCAGCAGGAATTCATCGTCCCTAAGGCTGGTCCCAGAGGCCAGCAAGACAACCCTATACAGCTCCCAGGCGAGGAGTCCTCCCGATTCTGATCAGACGCCAGGGGCTGTTGCTTCCTCTGAATTAGATGTGACCCCGGAGGGGAACAGAGTGGAGGGCCCCTGAGGTAGAGGATGTGCCTGGAGGTGTATAGCCTGGTTCTGAATCTCTGTGTCTGGAAGAAACGGTGGCCAAAGACTGGCCTGACCTTCCTGAGGCCTGGTGGGAAATGTGTCCTTGGCAATGGGCCTCTTGGTTGGGTTTTCTGCTCTCTAACTGATCTTCCCTTGGAGCGTCCTCACACCGTACCATTGAGGGTTACTGTCTGACCCCATCTCCAGAGGGCTTGGCCATGTTCCTTGCTAGGTGTGTACTACTAATGGTACCTCATATGTAGCCAGTGACACACAAGTGCAGGACTGAGGACACAGGTGGGGCAGAGCTCTGACCCCAGCCAAGGACTCTCACTGGAAGCCTGGAGTCTTTAAGCCAAACCAGCTGTGTGCATGTGTGTGTGTGGTGGAGGTATATATGTGGAGGTTATGTGTAGTGTTGGTGTGTAAGAATCAGAGGACAACTCCTGGTGTCTGTCCTCAGGTGCCTTCCACCTGCTGCTTGTGACATGGTCTGTCACTGACCTGGAATATCACCATGTAGGCCAGGCTAACTGACCTGCAATCTTCAGGGATACACCTGTCTCCACCTCCCATCTCTGGTGATGCAGGTGTGGGTTGCCACATCCAGCTATTTATGTGTGTTCTAGGGATCCCATCTCAGGTCCTCAAGCTTGTGAGGCAGGCATTTTATTGACAGCCATCTCCTCAGCCCAGCCCCTACCACCACCCCCTTTTTTTTTTGTCTTTTTGAGACTGGGTCTCCCTGTAGCCTCAGCTGGCCTGGAACTCACAGAGATCCTTCTGCCTCTGCCTCTGCCTCTGCCTCCCGAGTGCTGGGATTAAAGGCACGTGCCACCATGCCTAGCTCTTCTTAAATGTAAAGAATCCTTTTCCTTGGCTGCCCTGGGATTCTAGGCAGTCCATGCCTAGAAAGCACAGAGCCTGTCTGTGGGATAGTTTTTCATTCATCGTTTTTGTTTTTTCCTTTTGGAACCCAAATATGTTTTTTCAATATATTTTAATTGAATTTTTGTGCATTTCAAACAATTACATCTCAATCATATTTAGACCTCGTCCCTATCTGTACCCCCCACTGGATTTTATGTATTCTGTCATATATGTTAAGGCCTATCGAGTTAAGTTTGTGTCCCCAGATGTCCCTTGGTGTGAGTCCATCCACTGAAGCCTTGGTCAGCCTATCTAGTGTCGCTCCCTTAAAGACCAACTCTTCCCTCACCCAGCAATTATCAGCTGCCAATAGTTCAGCTAAGGTTGGGGCCTCCTGCCCGTTTCTCTAGTTTTACGCTGGGCTTTTGTCTGGTTTGAGTTTGCGTGGGTCTTGTGCATGCTGTCACCATAGCTGTCCATTCCTAAGAGCAAGTTCTCAGAAGCCTGGAAAAAGAGACAGTCTTATCCCAGCCAGGCCTTGAACTTGATCTGTAACTGAGGACAACCTCCCAAAAGCTGGAATTATAGCACCACGCCCAGCTTATGAGGTGCTGAAGATCAAACCTTCATGCATGATAGGCAAGCATTCGACCCACTAAGCCATATCTCTACCCGAGACAGCCTTTGAGTTTCTTAACCTAGCATGGTGGCACACACCTGTAACCCTAGCACTCAGCAGGTGGAGATAGGAAGGTCTTGAGTTCAAGGCCAGCTTGTACTACATAGTGAGACCCTGTCTCAAAAAGAAAAAAGAAAAAGCAGTTTTGCCTAAGTGTGAGCACTCACTGCCATACCCAGTGGCTGTGTTACCATGAAATAAACGCAACAGAAACGATAGGCCTACACATCACACATGGCACAGAGTGCTTTCTGATGTGACATTCAGACGCGCCACCTACCATGGAACTTAGACCAGCCTTGCCTGTGGCTTGCCCTGTGCTATGACCATCCCCCAGTTGGTGCCATCCAGTTGTTAGACTTGCTGAGCTACTGAGCTGAAAGTCGGGTGTGCTAGGTCCAAAGCAGGCCAACAGCAAGCACAAGCAGCTGCCTCAAATAGCCTCAAGAGGTAGGCAGAGGTGGTGGTTAGGAGCGGCATGATGAGCACCCCAAACTCCCCATCACTCCTCACATCAGGCCAGGCCCCCTCTAACTAGAGCACTTCAGGGGGGCGCTGTACCCTAAACGGTTTCCCATGCTCCCTGCCAGCCCCAGAGTCCTAATTGTGATCCAGTCACCCTGTCCACTCTGCCCAGCAGTTATTCCCAGTTCAGACGCCTTCCCATGCATGAGGGCTCGTCCCTCCCCTTCCTCCTGTCTGAGGCGCTCCTGTATCCCCAACTCTCCCTATACTTCACTAACACCAGGCAGCCTCCAGCAGGAAGTCAGCAACTGCCTTATACAGTCGAGAAATAAATTCTAATAACCTAGCCTGCTGGAGGGCAGACTCCACCATGTCCCAGATGAGACCACAGCCCGCTGCAGTCTGGATGACCCTAGCAGGAGCCCCAGCCAGACCCTGCCTGTGTTTCTGACCCTGATGCCCTGAGACAGTGAACAAACATGTTCTTTTTGAGGTGCTGAACCTGTGATGCCTTGTGACACAGCAGGAGGGAACTAACACAACGTTATAGCTCGGTTTCTGTCCATTGATAATGAGCAGACTGCATTTTCCAAAAATGCTGGGACAGCACCCACAGGCTCTTCCTCCGTGTTATTTATATGACATGGTGTCAACTCTGTGGCTCCTAAACAGTAGTAATCTGCCTCACTCCCTGGGATCCCATGTGGAGCCAGTTGCCATGAGAGGAAACTCAACCAGCCACATGGAGCAAATGTGTGCAGATGCCCCAGCTGCCCACGTGGGTGTAAAGATGCT